TTTTTTTTTTTTTTTTTTTTTTTTTTTTTTTTTTTTTTTTTTTTTTTTTGTGATAAGCATTGATGATAATGGGTGCGTTTTTTTTAAAAACTTTTTATAATTGTCAATTTTTGTTTCCATGAAGCGAATTGGATCATCCAGGCATAGTAAAACTGATCGCAGTCAATGCGAGGCCACCGAACTACTTGTTTTTCTTCGAATTCTATGAGTTTCCGAATCTTTCGGAGAAAGTGCATGCTGAAGAATGGAATCCGAGTATCAATCAGGTGCTCATGATCACTCTAGAGTTAGGTAATGTTTTTCCACTATCAGTTTTGATAACATGTTCTTTTTTCTTTATTGTCTTGTACAAAATCAACAATAAAACTTGTACAATTAGGCTTGTGTTCTTTTTTAGGCTTAATTAAACATGCAAATTTAGTTTCATTATTCTACTTCCAATTTTGCTCTTCCAGCAAAGGCTCTGCAATATTTGCATAACTTGGGGATTGTGCATAGGGATGTGAAACCAGCAAACGTTCTTGTAAGTTTCTTCCACAATTACTAAGTTAATTTGGCCATTTACTTGCCCTAACGATGTGATAATTTCCAAGTGGCACGGCCTTTGATTGGGTGTACTTGGCAGTGGCACTAAGCTTTAGTGGCGTTCTGATGCAGCTTGGCAAAGATTTACGTCCATACTTGGCTGATTTTGGTTTAGCAGTACACCAGAAACATCTGAAAGGAATCTCCGCAGAAAACTGGAAATCATCTGGGAAGCCAACAGGTGGTTTCTATAAGAAAAGCATGGTTGGGACACTCATTTATATGGCACCTGAGATATTGAGGAAGGAAATACATACAGACCTATCAGATGTCTACAGTTTTGGCATCTTAATGAAGTACGACTTCTTAATACTTGCATGGCACCTGAGATATTAAGGAAGGAAATAATTTGCTACTATTTTGCTACCTAATATCCACTCAACAATACCCACCTCAAGCAGCCGATTTGGCTCCTATGTAGTTGCATGTTAATAGACATACTCGAATCTCTAAAATAAATGTTTTGAAAGTTGAAGGACCTAAATGAAAGAATTATGAAACTTCAGGGATTAAAATGGGACATAAACCACCAAACTTTGGGGTTCTTATGAAGTTGGTTGACCTCTGTCTTCTCATTTTTTTCTGAAGCATCTTTCTGTTTTTCCACATAAATCTTGAATCCTTGACTTTCCTCCTACTGCAGTGAGCTTTTGACTGGTGTTGTTCCATATACTGATCTTCGAACTGAAGCACAGGTCAGATATGTTGAATTAGTTAATTCTTTTACCAATGACATTAGATATTGATTAAAAACCACTCCATTGGAATTTGTAGTGATTTCTAACTGATGAGGTTAGCTATTGGTTAAGGAGACTGCCTATGAACATGGAACGTTCAACAACATATATTTGTACGAACGTACTGTTGTATACTAAACTCCCTAGTTACTAACATCCTTTTGATTTTCTTTCTGTGGTGTGTACCTGAGCTATTGTATACTAAACCCTTGTCCGATGCGAAAGTCAGAAATTTAGAAACAATTTGAGTAGCAAGTTTCGATTTAATCTCTTAACCCTTTTAATTATACCTTTTCTGTAAGTAGTCATCAAATGTTGCTAGCGGCAAGTTTGTGGCATGATACTTTGTGAGTTGACAAAAGTTTAGAAAAAAAATTGAAACCTCCTAATAGAGGAAAATTTCAAAATTTTCCAAGAAATTGGAAATTTTCATGTACCATATCACGCAAGATTATGATCAACCACATTTAATATCTATGAATGGAAATGGTGTAACTGAAAGAAGTAAAAGTTCAAGGGACTAAATTAAAACATTTTAAGCAATAGAAACTAAATTGAAAAACTAACCCCAACAGTGGTGGATTAAAATATATATTTTAGCCTTATCGAGAAAAAGAAAAAGGAAAGGAAAATAGCTTGGATTGACAGGCATTACTTCATATTTAGCATTGATGCATCAGCAGATGCGGTTCATCTTACCCTTTTTATAGTACTTGATGGCTAAATGAATGGTGTGCATTTTCATTGGGCAGGCCCACACTGTACTGGAAATGAATTATACGGAGCAGCTGCTTACCGCAGCTATTGTTTCAGATGGCTTGCGTCCTGCTCTTCCTAATGATGAGTCTGGCGCACCATCAAGGTTGTTGTCACTTATACGCAGGTGCTGGGATGAAAATCCTAAAAATAGACCATCTTTTTCTGATATAGTTGTGGACCTAGAGTCAATTTGGGAGGACAGAAAGGGTTTAGAATCTGTCACCCCTATGCATCCCAATTTGTGTGGTAGTGTTGTTAGTGATGCTAGTGAAAATGATTATGCATATCAAGAAGATATTAATTGGTCAAATCAGGGTGAACAGTTTTCTAGAAAGGCTTCTAATGCAGATGGGTGTGCTGTGAATGTTTGGCTTGATTCCTCATCTGATCATTTGGCATACCGCCCAATACTTTCTTGGGGATCCTTTTCCACTTGTGGGAGGAGGGAGACCATGGAGGACTCTCATTTCCTCTTGCCTAACATGTGTAACAAAGAAGACATCCATGCTTTTGGAATCTTTGATGGTCATAGAGGTTTGTAATTGTAATTTCTTTTTAACTACTGTTCCTTCGACAATACGCCGTTGCTTTAGTCACTTCAATGCATTACAAGTGCGTCAAATGCCTAATGCTGTAGCTTTAAAGCATGCAGGTGCAGCAGCTGCTGAGTTTTCAGCTCAAGCTATTCCTGGATTCTTGCAAGCGTCATGTTCCACAAGAAGGTTTTCATTCTTTCTTCTAATACTCTCCAATTTTTATCATCCGGCATTTTTTCTTTTCATCTACTAATATGGAATCTTGTGTGTAAAGTCCTGTGGATGCATTAAAGGAAGCATTTGTAAAAACAGATGTTGAGTTTAGAAAAGAACTCGATTTTTTTCGCAAATCCAAGAAAGTTAAACAGAAAGACTGGCATCCTGGTTGCACTTCTGCTGTTGCCCTAATTGTTAGAGACAGGCTTTTTGTTGCCAATGCTGGTGATTGCAGGACAATATTGTGTCGGGCTGGTGATCCCGTCGTTTTAAGTAAGGTGGGTTTTGTGTATGCTTTTTGCTTTTCTAAAATCTTTTATTATATTAACATATCAGAGTGGTAATCAACATTTTGTATCAGGATCATGTCGCTAGTTGTGTCGAGGAGCGAGAGCGTGTCATCAGGGCTGGAGGGCAGGTGAGGTGGCAAGTTGATACATGGAGGGTTGGTCCGGCTGCTCTTCAGGTCTCTCTTTTCATATGGTGGTGTTATATCTGCATACTGAAAACGATATTTGTAGTAGTTGTTGTTTTGTCATTAAATAACGTTTTGAACCGAGTGTTTTGAGGTTGAACAGGTGACTCGTTCAATTGGCGACGATGATCTGAAGCCGGCTGTGAGTGCAGAACCTGAGATAACAGAAACTGTTCTGACTTCACAGGATGATTACCTGGTAAGATTAGTTTTCAAGTGATGTTTCATTTCAAAGAATTGGTAATTTCGATCCATTTGTGTCGATCACGAAAGCATGATGATGATGGTGTGGTGCATATCTCTCAGGTTATGGGGAGTGATGGACTATGGGATGCCCTGAGCAACTCTGAGGTGGTGGGTATCATCAGGGACACAGTGAAAGAAGCGGCAATGTGTTCAAAGCGGCTTGCAACAGAAGCAGTAGCCAGGGGGAGCAAGGATAACATTACGGTAATTGTTGTATTTTTACATCCGGTATGTACAGTAGAGAGAATTTATTAAGTGGTGCCCCACCTCTTCTACCTACCATACACACAATTTGTTCATAATATACAAATGTTGTATTATTTGTTGAATACCAGAATTACAAATTACTTGGGATTAGAATTTTAGTTTTATGGGTTTCAAGCTTCAATTTCATCCAAATTACTTGTGGTTTAACTCTATTTTAATTTAAATAGATTCTTTTAATTACAACACGGTGATTTTACAAATAGAGACTAAATTGATCTACAACAAAATTTTAATTGTTTCATAGTTTAATCATCAACTTTTATAATCAATCATATCAATTTACATCTCTTCTCAAATTACAATTTGGACTTTAATTAGGTATTTATAAAAAGGGATTTAGGAAACAAAATTTGAAATACATTATTTATCAATATAAGCATTAAATAATGAAATAAAAACTCGTTCTTATTTTTTCTTGAGCCTTTTTCCAATTTTTTTAGAGATGAGAGAAATAGTCTATTTAATTATTTTAAATTATATATTTAGTTATAAATTTGTTAAAAAGTTGTATTTAATAAATTATTTTAAAAAATTTTTATTATCATTTTTATGTTAGAACTATTTCTCAAAAAGATTATTTATTTTCTAAATTTAAGAATTAAATAGAAATAAATTAAAATAAATCATTTGAGAAAAGGGGCAGGGAGGGAAGCAGAAGATCAACCAGGGGAATTGCGGACTGCAAAAAGTGAGGAAGAATTAAAGAGAGAGAGAGGGAGGGTGTGGGCCCCACATCTCCCGCCTTTCCTATAAAAACTAAAAAGCATGTAACGTATCACCCAACCATCCCAAAACAAGCGCGCCCCTTCCTTTGTTTGCCTCACTCCATTTCTCCTCCTTCCTTTTGAACTTTCCCTCTCACAAATCACACACAGATTCATGTGAACTTCCCTGTAACGCTGCTTCGACCAACAAAAAAAAGTGTACGAGTATCTACTTCCGGTGTGTGTTTCAAACTCTCTGGTATTTTCTCCTTCATTTTAGCGCCTTTCTTCTCTTTCTTTTCATATCTCTCTCTCTTTTAGTTGCGTGTTTCTTTGATTCATTGCCGGCACTCGCTCGGAAGTACTCGGTTTGGTGTTCGAGGTTCTAATTTGTTTACTTTTTTGTTTTTTTTTTCTTTGTAGGTGTTTTGCATAATGGAGAAGAAGGCTACCCTGGCAGCTGCGATGGATTGGAGACTGAAAATCAAGAACGAAACTGGACAGAAATTTGTCAAGTCTGTAATCTCTCCAAACCTAACTGATCATTCAACTATTCTGTTTTTTCCTCCTTTCTAAATTCTATTTTGTTTTATTTATCGTTTGTTTGGAGTTTTGGAGATTCAATTAGGAGAGTGACTGGAAATTTGTGTTGGCTTCTTGGAATAATGTGCTGATTAGTCGAGTGTAATTCGGTTACTATGGTGATTGATATCGATTACTTTGTTTAAGAAGCCGCATTTATTATTTGCTGTCCAGAACTAATTTTTCTGTAACTACTCTTTGAAGAAGCCTCATTTTCCTGGTCCGATTGTTGACTTGGAAATTTCGTGGCCTTGTTTGAGTTTCTCTTTGCCATTTCGAATTCTATTGGATTCTTGTAATGTATTAATCTGTAGTGTTGAATTTGATTGCTGCTGGTTGAGCTTGATTTCTTCGTTTGAAAAGATAGATTTGTCATTGGCTGATTGCTACTAAATCTTTCGAAATGGTTGATGGAAGAAGAGTTTTTCTGATTCTATCATTGACTTGAGAATTCTTACGCATTGTTTAAGTTTCTATTTACTGTCTTGGATTTTAATGACAACAGCGTGACGTTGTAGATACGCAAAGTTGAAGGAACAGTGGTCTGCTTGCCGTCCTGATGCCTAAAACAAATTACTAACCTTGCGATGGAACACGAGAAGAAGTTGTTTAAAAATGCAAATTCTAAGGTATATTAGTAAACATCCCATGTTTTCTGATATGAGAACTGTTCTTTTTCCCTTTCTGACTTTTGGGATGCACTTGCACCATACTAATCTTCTAACTTTTCACTTTGTTCCAATTTGCAACATATGTAATCTTCTTTTCTTCTTATTGCTTATGCCTCTCAGGAACAACATATTCCGCAGTCACTGTCACAGCCACACGAACGACTACATGGACAAAAACTGAAAGTCAGACAGACGCATCAACAATATCTTATGCATAATCAAAGCTGTGTTAGACCACAGAATACACTAACTGCACCATGTCGACCACAGGGTTTCCAGAGTCGAGCTTTTGGAAATCATATGCCCCCAGAAATGTTCACACAACATCCAAAAGTTGTGAACTTGCAGCCAAATGAGAATTTGAGTGCCCAAGTAAAAGAGGTATTTGATTCTGTCTATAATCAAATCTCAGTTGAGCATTTGTAACTAGGTATTTGGTTGTATATCTATATTATACATATTGCTACGAAAGTCAAGCCTTACATAACAGGAAGTGATTGATGAAGATTTTATTGGCTCAACATTCTTACATCAATACTATTCTGCGATTGAGCAGCATAAGCAACACCAGACGGTCGGAGCTTCTGCAGGTAAGTTTAAGGTTCTGAAGAAAAATTCTATTTGAAATCAACACCACGATTTAAAGCCAAATATAGATGGAGAATGAAGAAGGATTTTGTTTTAACAATCTGTTTCTTTTCTTCCATTTACCTATTGAATGCATGATATTTATAAAGAAAATGTTTGCATCGTATTTAATCGCAATTTTTGAGCTTTTTGTATGTAAGAGTTAAAGCTTGTGAAATCAATACCATTTACCTAACAATATGCATTTTTCTTCTTTTCAGTTTCACTTTTCAAAAGTGCTTTTGAAATCTTGACCACATTTGGAAAACAAAATATAGAGTTTTTGAAACTACTCCTTTTGACAAAAAGGCTAGCCAGAATTTGATAACTGTTTTGAGGAAAGTGGATTTGAAAGCAAATAAACCGTTAGCTTGCATAAAATTAAATGTTTCACTTTTAAAATGGAAAACTAGAAACAAAATCATTATAATAATGAAATCTTAGTTACTAACCTCCTATAATGAGAGGAAGACAGATTACAAGTTATAATTTCATATATTGCATATTTTTAAATGTTCTTTCCTTCGAAGGACGTTCTCCTCAACTAAGGTGACTTGTATTTTTAGAAACATCAGATTTAATCAACTGCTCTATAGAATATTTGGATACCCAACGCCTTCCCATAAATGCTACTACCACTACCAGTACCACTTATGAAGTTTCTTAATTTGTTTTCTACTTTTTGCATGTATTCTAAAATCAATCTAAGTTTTGAAAACTAAAAAAAGTAGTTTTCGAACCCGAACAATCTTTAAAAACAGAAAAACCAAAAACAAAATGGGTTTCCAAGCCCGTCCTAAGATTTTCTGTTGTCTTTCATTTTATCGTGCAGTTCCAAATGGAAATCCAAATGCAGAAGATTGGCATGATCTGGCATTGTCTGAGGTAATTGTATTCTAGCATTGGTGTGAATTTGTTATTATATTGATGTATAAATACAATCATTAATCTGGCATTGTTTTGTTAATTGATTTCTTAATATTGTTTTCTATTATTTATCTAAAAATGATTAAAATATCGGCATCCATATCGACATCAAGATTTCAATTTCACGGATATATCGATAAAATATTGATATTGAAAAGTATTTTTTTAATCATTAAGTCTGATCCACGGTTGTCTCCAACATCATCTACTATGGATGTTGGGAGTTTTCTTTTACATTTTTAGTAATGAATTCATGGAAGCATCATGGATGTCAGGACGTCAACTTTTTATAATTTAAATTCAGTGCTAAGCCGCTTTTTATTTATATATTTATTTATTTCAGGTGCAACGCCTCAGGACACACTTGCCTCTTTTGACGAAGGCATATGTGAGGGCATCTGAACAGTGTCTGCAGGTACTAAATTGATTTCAAATAAATATTTTATGGAACATCCATATTTGCTTGATCTTCATCAGACTCATCTCATTCTTATTTTAAACCACTTTTATGCCTTACCGTTCATGTATTCTGTCCATATCCCTTCATGGCTCTTACTTCTTGTAGGTAGGACAAACAGAGAAGATGCAGAAGTACGAGCACGATAAGAATATACTGCAAAAAATTATCAACTTTTTGAAATTGCCCGAGGACAGAATCATATCTTACACCAAAGAGAGCTTTTATCGATGTGTGCAAACAATTGAAGAAACTCTGAAAGTTCATGAGAATGGCAGTATAAACATCGCCAGTAAGCGGCAGCCCCTACATGGGCAGCCAAGCCTCTGTCAATCTCATATAAACCCAGCTCAGCAAACTAATAGTTTTGATAGTTCTTCTCCTAGAGCGCCACGAGAAATAGGTTCCTTGAGGTCAGAAGCAGACTGGATTCAGAAATATACTCCGCGGAATAGGCAACATTCAGAAAAAATCGAGCAAGAATTTAAGTCCTCGTGGATAAAGCAGAATCAGAAGTCAACAGAAAATATCCAGGCAATTCGTAGATCGGGAATGTATTTGGAGAATCATTTCAACTCGAAATTCTCTCCTCAAACTCATGAGGCTTCACGGCTTTCTCAGATTGCAGAGCGAGCACTTCCCAAAATTGCTTGCAATTCTTTGTATGGAAGAGCTTCTCCCACCTTTCCTTCAACAGATGGGCTTGGAAAAATTTCTTCAAATGTTTCCTCCCTTTGGAGCCCAATCTCTCAATTCTCTCAAGGTTATAGTTCTCTCAAGTTACTTAATTCCAAATCAGAAATCTAAGTCCCATCTCATGAGAGAAGAAGCTATAACACAATGACCTGTCGGCTTGCAGAAACTACTCGTTTTGGAAACAATGGACAATTGTCAACAACTCAGCCTCATAATCGCTTGCTTAAAGCAGTAAGTCTGCGTTTGAGAAGAGTTTATGTTGCATTTGCCTGATCTACTAGATATTAGCATAAGATCATTCCTTTTTGTTTCTTAGGCTCTTCCTATTAGTTGATTCTGGGAGAGAACAAAATTTTGCAGGTTGAGTCAATATCAAATGAAGCATTAAGAGCAGCTATACTAGAAATAAGTTCAGTTACGAATATGGAAGACAGAATAACAGAACCGTGGTTTTGCGAAAAGGAAACACATTTAAGCTTGCAAGATGGGGGCGGTTCCTCAAAGAATATGAAGCGAAAAATGAATGCAACAACCTTAAATGACATGCCATCGCCTTGCAGTGATATTGTTGGGTCTGAACCAACAGTTACATCAATAAGCAAGAAGCTCAAGAAACTGGTATGCATAATCTCTGTCTATCTCTTTGAAACTATTATTTCTGCCCACTTTTTATTTTCCTTTTGTCTTATAGAATTATGCTGAAAATTGTGCAGTCTGATAATGCCCTATTGGAAGAAATGAGAAACATAAACAGACATTTCATTGAAACGGTCTTAGAGTTAGATACGGACGAGAATGTGAATAGGCGATTGGCCAATGCGGGTACCGTTCTTCGATGTTCATATAGAGCTGCAACCGAAGGTAAAAATTCAGTGTTCCATTCTGAAAACAACACACTAAAGGTGAGGTATCTAGCTATTTTTCTGTTCCTTCTTTCTCCAACTTGTAAACTAGATGCAAAACTTGACCAAAATATTTATGAAAATTTGTTTCCATTAGTTGCCAGTGCTTTCAGTGAAGCTGCTTGTGCCCCTGGATTATCCAGAAGATTACCCTGTATTCCTAAGCAAATTGAACACAGAGTGCGGGTATGAATTGTTATAAATAAATGTCCTTTTTTAACAGATAGTTGAAATGCACTAGTTATTGTACATGTTTTTAGTACTGAGGATGAAGAATTTAGAGACATGTGGAGCAAAGCGACGTCCCTGCTAAATGCATTCCTCCGCACCGCTCCTGTCTACTTGTCTCTTGAAGAGTGTGCAAAGGCATGGGATGAATGTGCTCGCGCTGTGGTATGTGATTATGCTCAACGTGCTGGCGGAGGATGCTTCAGCTCTCGATATGGGAGTTGGGAGGACTGCGCCGCTACCTAACCTCCCTTTGAACAGAATTCAGCTGAACAATATAGACCACTAGGTCGTTTGTTTGCTAGATTCTAAGATTCTAAGATACCAGCTGAACATAATATTTTGAACATAATATACCACTAGATTCTAAGATTCGCATATCATATGTACAAAAAATTGGGTACAACCCTAAACCATTATATAATAATCCATTGATGAACCCATGATATGGCTTCCTATCTGAAACGAGAAGGCATCAAGTGTAGCATAGAGTAGCGGAGGTGGAGTTAGGTATAAGCGATCCCATGAATATCGGTTCGGTCCTGCATTTCTGACAATGTTGTGATCTAGTCCGAGGCCGACGAAGGATTTGGGATTTGGGAGATCCAGGTGTGGAAGCATGGAAGGAGAAGGAGTGAGGAGAGTTAAGATTTGATGGTGGTGGAAAGTGATGTGCGAAGAAGAAGAAGAAGAAGAAGAAGAAGAAGAAGAAGAAGAAGTGTTTTTCTTTTTATTCTTTTCTTTCCTTATTTATTTTTTCTACCAATTATTTTGACATTTTCATGAAAATCAGTATAATGGCTTACTAATTTATTTTTAAAATTATAACAACATATTTATTTATTAATTTATAGTTTTCTAAAAGTATGTATGCAATATTTTTATAAAATTATTTAAGCAAGCAGCTATGCTTTAAACCTTGGTCCGAGTCCACCGCCTGATATAAAGAACGGGAGTCCAACACACGAAAGGGTTTTTAGGGTTTAACACCAACAACGTCTCTGCCGCGCCTATTTCGATCCCCCCTCCCTCCCTCTCCTTTCCACTCTTACACCTCTGCTACTAACCTCTTCACTCCTATTATCATCTCATCATGTGGGCTCTTCGTAGAGCTTCGACTCCTCTCAGGTATGCTTCTCGTCTTCTAACTGCACCTCTCCGCTTATTTACCTTACCTTCTTTATTCCTTAATGCCAATACATTTCTTTTCAATCTTCTTGTCACTACACACTTTCATTCACTATTTCTGCAACTAAGATTCTTGCTTGCTTCTCATCCACTTTCCGGTGCTCATCACAGAAGGAAATAATGTAAAAACTTGTGTGTCATTTTTTTCTGTTTTTATTCGCATTCAAGCTCAAATCTGAAGCTTCGTTATTTCTACAATTTAAATGCTTCTGGGTTTCACAATCTATCTTCACAGTTGTCGGCCTATTATCAAGGGGGGATTTCCTTTTCTCTCTGTAAGGAAGAACAAGTTTGGGGGATGTCAGTTTCCCGAAATCATCCATTATTAATCATTCAAACGACTGTTTTTGTATGTATGTATTTCTGTATGTGTAATATATGTACCTGTATATTGCGGTAACCGGTGCGGAGGGTACGATGCCTCCAATTTTTCATATCCCTCTCTCAATTTTTTGTGTTCTCTTTCTAGGAATCAAGGATATAGAATAAGAACTTCGTATGTCTTTGGCAAACTAGAGGCGCCATATTCTTGCGATGGAAATATAGTTGGTTCGGCTATCATCCCTGCTATATCTGATAGATGCATTTCTTTTGAGAGAAATAACCTTGCAACATGGCGGTCCTCTGGGCTTTCTATTAGCAGCCATGGTCTATCTTCACAAGCTGGTGCTGAGAACAGTGGAGAGGAAGATGACTTGGAAGATGGGTTTTCTGAACTTGAAACACTTCCAAGCACTAATGCACTTGAAGATAATAAAGCAGCTGATGAAAATGAAGGGGAATTAACCTCTGAATCAGAACTTGATGATGATGGGACTCAAAATGAACTGGATTTACCTGAGGTTGAAACTGAGCTTGGTGAAAAGATATCTGCGAAAAGGGCTCCTTCAGAGCTGTTCAAGGCTATTTGGAGTGCTCCGGGTTTATCTGTTCCCAGTGCACTGGACAAGTGGGTCAGTGAAGGAAAAGAATTAAGCCGTGCTGACATCTCTCTGGCTATGCTCAATCTTCGAAGACGTCGAATGTTTGGGAAGGCTTTGCAGGTAAATTGACTTGATTTTACTTCTTCAAGCAATGGAATTCATTCCTATGGTTTTAGGTTTATAGTTAATCTCGTCACTCTTGGGATTTGCAGAACTCTATAAAGTATATGTGACTAGCGGACACAATGGTTTCAGGATGGTAATATTGATAAATCTCTAAGAAATACCATAATCAGTAGTAATGTAATGCGGTCTAACAAACACAAAATGATTTCAAGAAGTACCACTATCAAATGCTTGTATAGAAATTTGTTAAGCTGGCTTATGGCATTCAATAAATGGTGCCAGAACCGCGTATAGAATTTTCAGATGGCTTGATATTAGGTTGAGCTGCATGTAACTGCTTGATTTATTAGTATATATGAATTTTGCATTTATTATTGTTAGTCTTATAAAAGCCATTATTGGTAAGAAAATGGTTATGCGAGTTTTAGCCAGTTTATCGACCAAGAATTTTGTAGCTACCGTATTTTAAAAATATTTTGCCTATTTGTTCAACATTCTTATTCATCATTTCTTCAACTCATTACTTGCATTGCTATATGGGTTTCACAGTTTTCAGAGTGGTTGGAAGCAAGTGGACAACTTGAGTTCGTTGACAGAGACTATGCTTCTCGCCTTGACTTGATTGCAAAGGTACATGGTCTCCATAGGGCAGAAGGTTACATCGCCAAAATCCCGAAATCATTCCAGGGGGAGGTGATATACCGAACTCTTTTGGCTAACTGTGTGGTCGCCAACAATGTAAAAAAAGCAGAGGAAGTATTTAACAAAATGAAGGACCTTGAATTTCCAATCACAGCCTTTGCTTGCAACCAGTTGCTTCTTCTTTACAAGAGACTTGACAAGAGGAAAATAGCCGACGTTCTGTTGTTGATGGAGAAAGAAAATGTCAAGCCTTCTCTGTTTACTTACAAGATCCTAATAGATGCTAAAGGCCTTTCAAATGACATGGTGGGTATGGAACAAGTTGTTGATACAATGAAGGCTGAAGGAATCGAACTTGATGTAAATACACTTTCCATATTAGCGAAGCACTATGCTTCAGGTGGGCTTAAAGACAAAGCCAAGGCCATCTTGAAGGAGATGGAAGATGTGAGCTCCAAAGAATCTCGATGGCCTTGCAGACTTTTACTTCCCCTTTATGGAGAACTACAAATGGAAGATGAAGTGAGGAGGGTCTGGAAGCTCTGCGAGGCTAATCCTCGCATTGAAGAATGCATGGCTGCCATTGTTGCATGGGGAAAGCTGAAGAACGTCCAAGAAGCAGAGGAAATTTTTGATAGAGTTTTAAAAACATGGAAGAAGCTTTCCTCGAAACAATACTCTACCATGTTGAAGGTTTATGCAGACAATAAGATGCTGACGAAGGGCAAGGATCTAGTCAAGCAGATGGCAGACAGCGGTTGCCGAATCGGTCCATTAACATGGGATGCAGTTGTGAAACTCTATGTGGAAGCTGGGGAGGTAGAAAAGGCAGATTCTTTCTTGCAGAAGGCGGTCCAGAAAAACCAGATGAAGCCATTGTTTACATCTTACATGGTTATCCTGGATCAGTATGCAAGGAGGGGTGACGTCCACAATGCGGAGAAAATGTTTCATAGGATGAGACTATCAGGTTACGTGGCTAGATTCAGCCCGTTTCAAGCTCTAATACAGGCATACATTAATGCCAAGGCTCCAGCCTACGGCATGAAAGAGAGAATGAAGGCAGATAATGTGTTTCCAAACAAAGCTTTGGCAGGAAAATTAGCCCAAATCGATGCATTCAGGAAGACAGCAGTGTCGGATTTGCTTGACTGAGGAATTTAATTTGATACTTTTGGATGTATAAACTCCTCGGATTTCAACTCTATTTTACAAATCAAGTATTTGTTAGTTAATCTGGTGGCTGCGCTTTGAAATTTGACAGCAGAACTACACAATGGATTGTGCTGCAGGTGTTATAATATATTTTGTTTGTTCGAATACCCATTATTACCAAGAACTCTGGTTTTGCAGTAAACTCAAAATGGTTTACTTACTCAAAGAATATTATTTGAAAATAAATTATAATATGATCTCTGGTGTAGGTTGATGTAATACAAATGTAAGTTACAGATACAACCTATTTTCCCATTCAGTTCTATGAAACATCACCTGAAAAGATTATTGTAATAAGCATACAATATCACCAACCGACACTAAACAACTGAAAATGTGAAAGCTATATATATGTATATATCAATCACAAACTTCACCCTACACCACCATCACTCATCTTCATCCATTGTACAATTCCTATGACAGAAGCAGCTTCATCCAATGAAGCAATGCAATTCTGTGTGGTAGCACACTTCAGGCACTTGTTTGATAAATTTGACAGATTAACTAGAGAGAACTCCCATGCCCCTTTCACTCTCGTGGCCGTGCAAGCCAGAGAGAGCTTAGAGCTCGAAGGCGGGAGAAGTAGTCGTTTATTGCAAGAAGCGCACGAGCTGATTGACGGGTTGTCAATATGCGATGCATTTGTTGAAGTGTTTGTTGACGAAGATTATCGGCCTGCAAGTTATAGAAAGAGAAGGAAAAATGAAAGTGAGAAAACATGGACAAAGATTTCAACTCTACTTGTTTGTTGCATGAGCAAGGTATAAATGTAACAAGATGGAACAGAGTGACATAAAATCTAAAACCAAATTACCTGGCGTAGGAAGCCATCAAGAGTTCCAAGCTTTCCCATTGCCATGGCCATTTGACCCATATAATTAGCCACATTACCAGATGACCCCGACGTAGCAGGCGTGCCACTGGCCAACGTTTCAGCCAAGGATTGCTGCAATGCATCCATTCCTTGTGAGAGAGCATCTTCCGCCTGTTGTGATAATTGTTGCAGGTTGCAGATTTCTGCTACTTGCTGCTCGGTCAAAGGCTCCAATTGGCTTACAAGAAGCTGCATTAACTTCATGTAAGCACCAACCCATAAATGTTTTCTTCCTCTACTTTCATATGCTTACCACCTACATAATTTATTACCTTTAGGATCTCAGATGAACGGAAGCCACCAATCCACAGGAAACACCGCTCTGCTGGTGTCTTCCACATTCCTGACAAGATGTGGAACACATCAGCTTTGGCTGCAATGCCTTTCAACCTGAAAATATCATCGAACTGTGCAGTCACATTATCAACAACCGTTCGCAGTTCAGTGTCACCCGCGTGTGAATTAACTGCAGCTCTAAGCTCATTTATCAGTCTATTATGCTCCTCTAACCAACGTGAATATTCTACATCAAATGCTAGTGCACCTACAAACACAAACAAGAAAACATATGACAGTGAATAAAAAAATGTTTAAACACACCCTACGAAAACAAATTCATGACTTTGAATATTGTAAAAAATAGTCATTCATATCAAAACCTTATAAATTATCAAGAATGACATTCAAGTCATGATGAATTGAGAACAAACGCAGCAGGATAACTCAACAACTGATATATTAAAAAAGTCACATGGCATAAAATGCTAACTGAAAAGGCTTGCATACCATTTCCACTCATGGAATGGGCTTGGTCTCCAGAACTTGAAATAAAGATACCCTGCATAAATTGTGGTGGAAGATTTAAGTAAAAGCATGCAACTCAGAACTTTCCAACTAGATAACTCAACCTGCTGACGGGCTCGCTGAAGTTCTTGCTCGAGCTGAGTAAGCTTCAGCCTGCTACTTTCTAGCTGCTGCACATATGCCTATGAAAAGGATGTAAAGTGATAAAGAAATATTATTGAGATTCATAGCATAATATACTCAAACTCACTGAACATTTCTAAGCAACTAAGTCAATATCAGTTATAAAGCACAACAATCTGCAACCATCATTGAAGCCAAATTCTTCAGAAAAGGTACAGCTTGTTCGATACTACACGGCTTACAATTTTTAGATAATTAGTAGAAATAGAAACCAATGATAATGGAAGCTTACCTTTTTCCTTAAACGACTTTTTCTAGCAGCTTCACGATTTTGGGCAAGCCTTCGTAAGGTCTGAAAGGGATGTCAAACAACATATTATTTGATTGAACAAGCTGCTATTTATCCATCAACATGTTCAGATAAGAATGTAAAGATATTTCAGTTTAAAATATAACCTTCTGATCTGCTGTTTTTTCCTTCAACTTGTTGTTAGAATCATATGCCATAAGTGAGTTTCCTTGATCTTTGTCAAGCTACAGAAGACAAAAGGACATAAGCTTACCTCCCAAGAATACTAAACAGAAAGATAGACACTATTACTTGAGACGATGAAAACATTCAACACACATATCCCATGTCCTCCCGCACAGCTCACGAGAAGGGAGATGGTGAAAAGAATAAGAACAAGAGTATGTGTACTGTCATCTAGCTGCTCTATTTAATCAATCCTTCAATTATCTTAAACTTCAAATTATAATATTGATATCAGGTAACTTGTATACATTGAACTTTAAACAAAAGAAACCAGAAAATCTCCAAAATGAATCATGTAAAACTAATCTGATAACATACTCAAGGGACTTTACCCTTTGACTTTTGTCATCGTCATCTGTAGAAGAATCAGTTCTTGTGCTCGTATCTGCCACGTTAGACTCTCCCCAGTTTTCACGAGGACCGCTAGATGTAGAAACCAAATTTGGGTTTGATTCTTTCTGTAATGGCAACGTTTGAGACCCCATGATAGCAGTTGGCAAATTTACATCAGTGGATACAAGTGGCTGAATTCCATTATGGGGGGATGTTAATTATCATCAAATATAAGTGCAAAGCAAAGCCTAATAAACCTCTATTGAAAAATAAAAAAAACGGGAACAGATAAAACAGTACCTTAATTAAAGAACCAAACTGGACGTTGTTCAGAGCCGAACTATTCGCCTTTATCTGATTATACAAAGGATCTAGAGCAAGTACATTTGGTAAAAAATATATTAGTAGAAGAAGAACAGAGGAGGAGATTCAGCATGCTCTGATTGTGTACTCAATAATGCAAAATCAAGAGTGAAAAAGAGATAAACAGATGACCACTGAAACTACTTCCTAATAACACATACTTCTAGAAAGGTCTACATCTTCTATGTGAAATCCAAGAGTTTGCTCAAGTGTTCTCAAGTCTGAGATCCGAGACGACGGAATAGAGCTTCCCTCTGCACCCCTGAAAATCACAGAGAAAAACACCATCACGGTGAAAAAATAATTCCAACGATAATGCAAAAAGGTGTACAAAAGATCCCAGCAAGGGAGAGGAAATTAAGGGATGCATCAAAACATGACAATGCATCCACAAATAACTTCTTGAACTCAAGGATGTGAATTGACCAAGAAAATCAGTCATTCAACTAAGGATTTAACTGAAGAGATGAATATGCTAAGACACAGTACAGCATTATATTGCCTTCAATAAAGTTCAGAGATGCTCCAAGTCACATATTCTTAGAACAATTAAACCTACTTATACTTAAGGCAGATGTTCTTGAGAAGNATTGTGAAGTTGATACAAGCAGAAACACTCGCATAAAAAAAAAAAAAAAAAAAAAAAAAAAAAAAGTACATGTACTGCAGAATTGAATTCAAACAATAAACTGAACAGAGTACTTGAAAGTTACATGGAATTATTGGGTGTGGGCATTGAAGAAACGAAGCTAGGCATCCCGTTCACGGCATTGGTTATATCGTCTGCACCAATCTTCACTGTTCTACTACCCATGAATCACCATCATCATCATCACCAGCACCCCAGCTCCAGTTGAATAAGAAAATTAGAAAAGCAGTGAAGAAGAAGAAGCTCTTGAAATTCTATCAAAATAAGTCGGACCCAGTTCCCTAAAACTCCCAAGCAGTTCCTCGATCCAAAGACGTCAAAAACTTCAGCCGATCAACAGCACGGGTTTCAAGTCATCGAAGAGCTCAAAACAAAGAAAACCCAGCAAAACTAAGAAGTGTATCAGAAATCAAATACCAGAAAAGTGAAATAAGAAGAGAGAAGAATCGCGAGATGGGAGTTGAGTTTGAGAAATGAATCGACGTCCGGAAGGTGGGAAAATGGAAGGAAGAGAGAAAAGAAAACCCTACCCAGAAGGGGTGTGGAGGATGAACAGCGAACACTTTTTGACTTTGTGATGGAATTGTTGGGTGAAGTTTTAAAAATGATGGGAGAAGAGGAAAAGTTTGGAGAGGGGCACATTGAATTTAGTGAAGAAAAATGGAATGGTGTTGTTGGTCAGGTGAGTTGGAGAAGCGTGACGTTTAGAGCCATTCCAAATTGTTCCTACTTTACCTCCTCCTAGGCTCCTTGCGTCCTTTTTCTTTAAAAAAAAAAAAAAAAAAAAAAA